ATCTTTTGAGCTCATTACGTCGCGTCGCGCCGAATCTAGCAGCCGAAGCAAGGACTTATCTGCGGAGGACGCCCCCTCCCACGTGCTCCCTCGATAACGCTCCGACGGGCGCTCTCAGGGGATGTATTTGGCGTGCCCCTGTGCCTGCTAAGGCGGTCATTAGTCATCCATCGCTGAGTGCTACAAACATTTCTCATTGTCGGTTTCCACACCCGCCGAACAGAACCTTTGCGCTAGACAACGTATACCTTGGACTTGGATCATGGATACACTCCTACAATTGATTATGGCAACACAGCTTGGCTCTCTGTAATTCATTAACTCCTCAACTGAAGGTTTACTATTCGATTTCATTCTTTGAAATGATTTTATTTGTTTGAAAATACCTAAATGAATTTATGAATTTTTACAAAATTTAACTCCAAGATACTGAACACGCGTGATTATTCATTTTCCTAGAATTCCAGTTGTTGGTTTTTTCAATATACAACGTTTTTCATTCATTGAATGAAGAAAATAGCATGATTTAAGAAAACTGAATATACACTTATTTGAATGTGAACACACCCTCATTCTCTTGTCACGTCACTCACTAAAAATGAAGTAATTCGCGTCCTCGAAATGAAATTTTACAGCCGCAGCCACAGTTCGTTGCAGCGGAGCCGAGGCGGTGGTGAAGGGCGTTGGCTCGAAAGCGTTTCACAGTCGATGTGAAGGCAACAGATCGATGGCATCGCTTCAGCAGCGCGCCCGCGCATCTCACCGCCGCGCAAGCCGCTCCATAAATATTTCATCGCTTTGCTCCGAAAGCAATATTGAGCCAAACCTGAGTTTTAATCCAGCAAACACACCACTTTGCCAAACACGCCTTATACGGCATGCCTTCGTGGACGGAGGCAGCGGTTCTCATGTTCAAGCGAATGTTTTCGATATTGTTTCAGTTGCAGGACGAAAACCTTAAGCACACAGAAGCGTAATTACGGATGAATATACACACGGTATATGTCTCATTATTTACTTCATCTGATGCCTTTTGGGATTAATATGCGTACAATTAGTGCTAACGAAACACGTTACTGCCAGAGCGGAATCAATATTCTTCTCCCTTTCATTTCGTAAGTTTGAGAAGTAGAAAGAAGGGATATATATCATTAGCCCAAAAATGCCTTTTCGATACTTTTGACATTGTTACTTGAACAATGCGTAACTGAAATTAAAACTTCTGAAAACTGGATACATATCATACAAAATAATAATAGTTTAACCGTGACATAATATTATAAACACATGTATCAAGAGTTACTATTTATTTTTAATCAAATCGACCCACGTTTCCAAGGGGAAAACTTCTGCCTGAGCACAAAGTGGTTGACTCTCTCCTTTAATAATTTTCATCTTCTGAACCCATCATATACATATTTGCTACGCATTTTCCAAACCCTGAACAGTAGCTGCTACTCCCAAAAGCCTCCTGTATCTCGACATATTTCTCTCACGCCCTAATCCACCGAGTGAGAAGTCGACACCCGACTCGATACAGCCATTAGGTGCACGGGCGACCGCGGCGCCCACGCGCTATCGGCGCCTCCGCGCGACGCCGTAATGGCTTTCCGTCGTGTGCCGCGCGGACGCCGTGTAGCAGCCGCGCGCGCTCGCCGTCTCTAATCGGAACACAGCCCCACATGAGTGCCGGATAGGCGCCATTCAATCATAACGGCCCCGGCACCATCCCTGGCCCCCCGCCGGCCGCGGCCCCCGGCCCGGCCCCGCCCACGGCCGCCCAACGCGCGCCACCGCGGCCCCCGCCCGCCCCGGCCCCGCCGCTCCGGGTCCCGGCCGTCCCCGGCCCCGGCCCGGCTCCAAACCCGGCCCGGCCTCCAAACCCGGCCCGCCCGGCCTCCGGTCCCCGGCCCCGGCTCCCCGCCACCCGCCCCGGCCCATCCCTCAGCCTTTCGACGTATGGCTTCGCGGCCGCCCACGCGCCCCGGCCGCGCCCTCCGGTCCCGCCCCGCCCGCCCCCGGCTCCACCCCCGGCCCCGCCTCCAAACCCCCGGGCCCCGGCCTCCCGCGTCTCCCGGTCCGTCCGGTCCCCGGCCCCGCCCCCCGCCCCCGGCCGCCACCGCCACGCCCCGCCCTCGTCCCCGCCCTCGACCCCACCCCCGGCCCCGCGCCCTCTGTCGTGCTCCCCCGTGGCCACCCCCGCCAGGCTTCCGCGCCGCGCGCCCCACATCTCGTTTCCCCCCGCTTCCTCGCTTCCGCTGCCCGTCCAACCTCGCTATGTGACCCGTTCTTTTCCACCCATCCGGCTTCGTTCGTCACACTTGCCGACCACCTTCCTGGCTTTCCTCCTTTCCTGCCTCGCCCTGCTACGCGCAATTTTCCGTTCCGCCCCCGCCTCACCCAAGCCACATTTATAACGTTCTTTTACGTATGGACGATGTGCCATTGACTGATGTTAAGGTGAAAACAATGTCTGAGGGTCTTTCAATTCAGAACCTCAAATGAAGCTATCCATGAAATTAATTTAAACACACAATTAAAGTTCATTTTGCTAAGCGTTCAGAATTCTTTCCAAATATTTTATTGCCCATTATGTATATACGTAAACATTCGGTTCACGCATGATAGTGGTAAATATTGGGGATAACATACCATAACGATACCTCTCAGACTCTTAAATACAGAAATAATTGTAGCGGGAAATTAATGAGGGAAAATGACGCCGCTCTTGATCTTGATCCGCTTCGACATCGGGACTCTCCCCATTCTCCTCCGTTTTTGCTAATTTTTAGACTCTAAGCGTCTCCTTGCTGTACTCGACTATTACTTCAGCCTTATTCTACCGACGTTTGATGTCGCAATACGTCTCCTCTTACACTTTCAACTGTTTTCATTCGCTTCCTACCTCAGCCTGCCTCGTTTCTCACTCCTCATTTCGCCTCAGCGCTTCCCAGTCCCTTCCCTCTTCGAGTCGTTTCTCACGTCGCCACTACTAGGCACGTCCCATTCAGCAGGAGTCCATACACATTCATAAGATAACTACATGCATTCAGTTAAGTATATTGTATAATTTATTGGGTATGTTGCATTATTTTTTCATGATAGTAAGCCAAAATTAATACAAACATCACATGAGAAGGCATTTTTACTTTTTTTTTTGTTTATTTAAGTGATCAACTTCTAGTTATTGCGACATTCACTGCTTGTAACCGTATAGTAACTGTTGAGGATGACACGATATGATGATGATGGGTGTGAAAGACGAACTCAATACGACCATGCACGAGCGGGACTCGAAACTGCTTTGTTTTCTTGCCAAATTAGTTATCATTATCAGAAAATCCAAATAAGAAACAATATACTTTGGGCATACGCCGCTTTACATATTATCAAATCTACAACCTACATGTGAAAAAAACCGATTCCTCTCTTTTAGGTTGAGTTCGTTGCTCAAATAACTGAGCTAGTACGCTGTTTCGGGGAACACGGTAGTCAGCATCGTGGGCACCCTAAAATGCCACATTTATCTCTGCAGCCGAAATAACTTCGTATAGTTATATCTGTGTTTTCAACGATTAAGACAACTTACTTTTTTCGCTCGCTTGCACTACTCTAACAAAGTTCCAGACAAGACGGCTATATTCGAGATAAAAGCGGCGAAAAGCGTTAGGAACGAGGTCGTCGTTTCTGCGTCCTACATCGTAAGTGGCCGCTTGGGGCAGACCGGTAACGTTAATCACTTTTCTCTTATTTAGACGTACGAATTAATTTACATCTGAACCGAATAATACTGTTATGGTTGCTCCGGCAACAAATGACAGGGCGCCCAGGAATGTGTTTCAGATAGTGAGCATGCCACGCGCGCACACAACACCTACACACTGGCGAGTACTTCAAAACCGTGCGTCGAGGCGAACGCCCCCCCCCTCCCGCTTCCTCTCTCTCACCACCCCCGCCCCCTCTGACCTCCGACCAACACAGAAACTTCTCCGGCGACAGGAAGCCACCCCAGGCCGTGTCGCCGCCCCTGCCGCCGCCGCCACCGCCGCCGCCGCCTCCATTAGCGGTAACAAACCCATTAACCGGCGCGTACCACGAGCGCCGCCGCCGCCACCGCCCTCGACGCCGCTACCGCGCCCCCGAGGTAAAAAAAAATTGGAACCGGGAAGTGATCAATCATTTGACGGGGCCGCGGCGAAGACAAACACTGTCAAGAAGGGCTCTCTCGTTTCCTACGGGCGTTCTAACAGGGCTGGCACGGCGCTGGCGCTGGCGCCGGGCGGCGGCGGTGGGCGAGAGGTGAGCACGAGGGGGCAGTGGAGGGTGGAGAGAGCGGTTTCGGTGTGCTGAGGTGAGGATGATAACTAACGAACTTCGAAAGGGGCGGGAAGATATGATAGGTAGCATGCTACTAGTGTTTTGGGGCAAGGAAATGAGGAAAGCAAATTAGTGTATTGAAATTGTGGGTGGACGGGGGGTGGGAGGAAATATGAGGGAAGAAAGTCTTGACAGGTGATGAATATCGATAATACAACGACGCAACCGTTAGATAGTATTAAATTTTGCATAAAGGATTCTTCACTATGACCCTATAGGGAACAAGTTTGAAATGGAATTTGAGGACACCTTTCGGAAATGACTATTCATAAAATATATTGAATTATAGCGATAGATTTAGTCTGTTGTGAACAACAGCCCTAAACGGTATCACGCGTATTGCAAGCGGATCATCTGAGGGGAGAAAAACTAGTGGCGCTGAGACGGACAAGAGTGATGAAATATGAGTCAGAAAAGTGTAAAGGGAGAGAACTAACTATTGCGTTATTTTGGACAAAAATCCAACATAGAAACATCGGCCGAAGGAGTGTAAAGCACGGGTAGTCTGAAGAAACTGTGGAGTCAGAGGAGGGGAAAGGGGAGAGAAGAGGGGCGTCGGAGGTGGCGTGACCGTACCGCCGAAGGAGACCTCTGCGATGAGGATAAGGACCTCATTACTCTCCCTACACGGTATCATGTCGGAAGCGCATGTCCTGTGGCTCCTGCAATTCAACTCGACAACTTTCTGAGAGGTCATAAAGTGTGCTTAGAGATTGGAGCGCTGACGTTAATGAGGCGACTTTTCCTTTCGCAAGAGCTACCGGGACCACCGATAGGTGCTGCAAAAAGTCTCTCCAAATTTCTTATTAGCAAGTCTAAACTTGTGAAAGAGTATTATGTAGTTCCCTTTTCACATCAAAAACCCGATGACAGAGCCAAAAGCAATAAGTCTATGAGTAATTTGTAAGCTTCTTCGCAAAAAAGCTGTCAAACCGCTTTCAGAAAAGTGTGATTTTTACAAATGGACATTTCAGAAAGTGTTCATGTTAATTTAAAAAGTAAAATATAGACAAGCAGCTTTTTTGTAGTGTTTCTTCTGCCTACAAAGCAGGAGCTAGAGAGAGAGACCGTCCCGATATTTTTGCCAACTGGATTTCATATAATGGTTAAAAAAAATGTGGGTACCTGAATGCTGAGTTCAGAAATTAAATAATCTTATCGCTGAAACACACAATCTATTCCAAATCTGACAGAAATGTGTTATTGTTTTAGAAAGTTATGGAATAGTAAAATGTTTTCAAATGTTTCAGTTGACATCGTCGATTTGATAGTATATTCATTTTCAATAACAAGTATACATGCGAAACATTACAACGTGATTTCAACTTCTCAAAACATTGCAACGGAATTTCAAAAAGCTACATTTATCGTCTTAAATTTAATTAACTTAATACTTGAGGGGGTTTTCAGGGAAATTTGTCAGGACATGTGTCTACAATTTTTCGCCTAGACCGCTTCAGACATAATTTTTCCAATAGTTTTAGCAGAAATTGAGGTTTAATTGTTAAATAAAAAATTGAAAACAACTGAAGCGCACTAATTATTATTGTTCGATGCATATCTATTATAACCTACACATGATGTATATAATAGGCCACCTACCACACCCTGATCTGATATTCGTAAGTTATTTTTTGACATAACAAAAAAACTATCCTGTTACAGTACTTCCAATTAGTCAATTCAAGTGATGCCGACATTGACTCCAGCCCAATAATTATTGAAATTTGAATTAGAAAAAGTTTGACACATGAATAAATGTATGTAATGTAAATTTTATGTATGAATGTCGATACCACAGTATCGATTCACATTTGACTTTATAACATTTCGAACTGCAGTCGAACTATATTGTTTTTAAAGCCGTTTTAAAATGGCATGTCACCAAAATGATTAGTAAATATCATTGTACGTGAATTTAGTATAGGCAAGAAAAAAATCGATCAATTTAAAATCGATTGCCGATTGATTTTTTTTACTAAAAATTATAACACCGATATTTTTAATTAAAACATTACACCGAATCGACCGGGTCGACGTTGAGTTTGTCAGCCGAGTTCGCTTCGCACAGCAATGCCAGAGTCCAGCCCAATAATGATTGAAATTTGAATTAGAAAAAGTTTGACAATGAATAAATGTATGTAATGTAAATTTTATGTATGAATGTCGATACCACAATATCAATTCACATTTGACTTTATAACATTTCGAACTGCAGTCGTACCACATTGTTTTTCATGCCATTTTCAAATGGCATGTCACCAAAATGATTAGTTAATAATATTTGTACGTGAATTTAGTATCGACACGAAACAAAGTCGATCAATTTAAGATCGTTTACAGGTCGATATTTTTTACTAAAAAATATAACATCGATATTTTTAATTAGAACATTACACCGAAACGACCGGGTCGACTTGGAGTTCGCCTCAAGTGCGCAGCGAGTCAGCCGGGCAGTAATTTGAAGGAGCTCACCTGCGACCTGGAGGGTGGCGTTGCGGCTGACGGCTTGGCCGGCCGTGTTGCGCGCCACGCACCAATACACGCCGCCGTCCTGCTCCTTCTTGCCGTGCACCACCCGCAGGAAGAAGAGCGAGCCGGCCGGCAGCAGCACGCGGTGCGACTTGTTGTCCGAGGGAGACGTGCGCACGGGCTCGCCGTCCTTGAACCACTCGATGGACGGCTCGGGCTTGCCCTCCGCCTTGCAGTTGAGCGTCACCGGCTCGTTCTTCGCCACGATCATGTCCGACGGGTGCTCGGTGATGCGCGGCGTGCGGTACTGGGCTGCGGACACACGCAACAGAACGGCACTGGTTAATGGGCAAGTTCCAATCGGGTGTGTGCGTGAGAGGGAGGGAACCTAGGAACCTCGCCGCCTCCCAAAGTCATTTTTTTTGGGGGGGGGGGGATTACTCCACAACTTGCATCAATCATATCACATCCAAAGATGTAATAGCTTTACAAAATTCGATTTCGACTAATACGTCATTTTATACCATCTCCTGTTATTTTTAAAGCACTATTTTTACTGATTACATTGATTTTTAATAACATTTTAATGATACCAAGTTGTGATACTAAATTGCAACACAAGTTCTCCAAAAAAATCCACCACAGAGGAACCTTTTTGATTTCTTCGCTCGGAACTAAGTCAGCCGTTGTGAGTATGTAATTTAACGTGACTATCAGCTGTGACGACTATCAGCGTCATTGATGGCCGATTTCAGGATACCTAAAGACAAAAATTTTCTGGTAAAGAACGGCCCAAACCAAACACCTGGAAACTGAGTTCACTTGTACGATTACATCAGTGATATACTCCAACAACTTCAGTTCTTCATCTAAACTCGTTTTCATAAAATGTTTTACGTTTTTTTAGATCATTTTTAAAAGATTTTAGGAGTATTTTATTGATCATTTCTGGCGATGATTTATATCAAAAGTTTCCCCTTAGTTATAAGCATATTTTAATTTAATTTTATTTATTTTATAGGACACCTGTATTTCAAATACTTCATACTTGTGTTGAATTATGTACTATGATGAGAGGACAATTTATTTCGTTTATTTTCGCCAATTATTTGGGAAACTTCTCGTGTCACAGGCCATGTGTTTGCAGATGAAGCCTGTGCGCGTGCACCTGGAGCTATCGACCCGCAGGTTAGCCGAACGCGTTCAGGGGCGGAGTAAAAGCGCAACGAACGTGACAGGGGGCAGAGTGTTTATTTGGGAGGCCAGCCACCGGCATGGTGCCGATGCACCACCCGCGGCCCATTCGGTGTGTTAAAGGAGATGAGATGGAATGTTTTTGTCAATACTTCTATTGCATGTGAGAGAAATGTTCGATTTTTATTTTCATTTTGACTGACATTTTTTCAAGTACAATAAAAGGTTGTGAGGAAAAACAAAAGTTGGTTGTAGTTGTGGTATGTGAGTTGACTTTTTTATTTTTTCTATTATTGATTTTATATTATTAAAATGGGGGTATGAGGGTGATAGCCCCCCAATAATAAAAGTTTAAGTTGAATGTGTTAGTGAAATAAAATTTATTTTAAATAATTATATTTATTGCGTTAACATCATGAACTTTACAACACGCGACTAGTACATATAAACAAGGATCCAGTTCATGGAGACGATTCCCCTCCAATGATCCGAATCAGTGAATCAAAGAAACCGTGACACCCTAAACCCGGGATCACCCCAAAAGTCTTTTAATTTTTTAAACATGTTATTTATTTTCGGTGAATGTTTATACATCTAAGTTGAACAAAAATTGAAATAAGTTCGTTTAAATAAATATTTCTTTAGTTAATTAAGAACTTGCAAATGTATAGCTAGTAACAAGAAAAAATCATTTATTTGCAAACAAACAGGCGAAAATGTAATTAGATAATATAAAAAACGAACTGTAATATATAAAAACGAAAATCCTAAGAGGATTAGAAAATAGTGAATAGCACTTGGAATTAGTATTATACGTACAGAGAGAATTACTAAATGAATTGCACAGCAATGCACAGTGGAACATTGGGCCACCGACTGGTGACTGAAACAAAGCCTACCGAATAAGCGCAGTTCGATTCATTACGCGAATCCACTGCGGAAAATCACTGGCTCCATGGAAGTAAATCAGCCGGTCTGATTTACGACAGCGGGCTCGAAGCTTTGAATGTGTCGGAGTGCGCTCTGCCTATTGTCGGTTCAATCATGGAAATGCTGATCCATGAATATACGAAATGCGGCGGAAAAGCGCTCCCAAAATGACGCATTCACTGTTCCGGTCAGCACAAAGAGACGGTGCTAGAGCACGGACGGGAAAGCCTACAGTTGCTTGACATTGCGAGATAGGTGACCTCACCAACGGACGTGATTTCAGTATGTGGTCTGACCCGGCACTTGGAAAAATTGTGCCGGGCCAAAAAGTTATTGCATGGTGTGTTTTTTATCAGTACACGTGTCATTTTTCTAATCATGACACTTTTTGGATTTATATTTTCATCATATTAAAGCGTTTATGTTTAATTTGTGTTCAGTGGCTAATGTACTGTCACCTTCAATAATTGATCTCTTATCAAATGGTGTTGGAATTTTAATAGAAATTTGTTTATTCGTAATTTAAAAAAAAATTAAAGTGAGCTTGATTAAACCATGCGTAAAACGTCAAACAGTAATAAACCAAGAGCTGATAGTCTAAGCAAAATTCGAAAGCGACGAAATTATGAAAAATTATCTGTAGCTTGTTTGTAAAATGCCGCCTGCTCTCAACACTTCAAGACGGATCCTCTTTTTCAGATGACACAATAAACGAGTCATTAACGACGCAGGTCACTAGCAGGCCAGATTTAAACGGTATGCGATTCATCAACCATGAGCTGTTCTATGAGCGGCGGCTTCTCTGAAGCCTCCACCTTCATCGGCAACGATTCGTGAAACTCGCCGCGCGCTTCGCCGCACATAAAAGAGTTCAGCGGCGGCGACGCAAAGAATATCCGATCCGGCCTCCGCGTGGCCCTGCGGAGAACAGGGGTCTCACAAGGGCCCCAGGACGCGGGCAATGCTCAAGGATAACTGAAAAGAAGTCTGAGGACCACGCCCTTTCGTTCAAAGTACAGATTTGTTTAAAAAATATGCATAACATGTTTTAAGATTATATATTTGTAGATATTTGCGAACCCGAGTCTAAGTTTGCCACTTGAAATTTACTATATAATATTTCAAATAAATTTGAATTCTCGTGGTATAAAACGCTTTAAACACATTTTCTATTTATAGCTCTACCATAATTACATTTATGAAAATTGCTGACATTTCTCAATTCCGTAAATTTATGTTAAAAAAGTAGTTTGGAAGAGATCGGAAAAGTGGATCTCGACGGATATTCTTTTATTATTGTTCATACCGAGTATTAACTTTCCGAATGTGTTTTGGTGTTTTGATGTGAAAGATAAATTAGTTTAAAAATTTGCAATGTTAACCGACAATGTTGACATTTTTTTGCGTTTTCTCTAATTAATTAAAACATGAAATAAAACAACCCTTTAAAGAGTTCACACACATTTTACAAGGCACACAATATTCCATGTACTTTATAGATGTTGCAGAATAAAAAAAGTTACGACCAAACGTTGAACTGAAAGTGAATTTTCACTGCTGGTGTGCAGGTTTATTCCACCGATACGCATGAACTTGACAGATGTCTTTTATGAATTTGAGTACGACACTTATTTATGAATAATTGTTTTTCAAATGCCAACTTTTTTTGGTTGTTATTTAAGGTCTCATCAACTACTAGGTCATTAGCGACCACTATTGCTTGTAACGGTATGTTAACTATGATGACGACACAATATGATGAAGATAGGGGTGTGAAAGGACGAACACAATACAACCATGCCCGAGGCGGGATTCGAACTCGCGATCCCTCGGTCTTAGCGATCTCGGCCATCCGGACCGGCAAACGCACACTTTGTTTTGCCCGAGCGAGCGCGGGCAAGCGTCGCCGAGGGGAGGCATGCGCCGAGTGGGCGTGGGAACGGGGTAGCGGCGCGCGCCCGCCGCTCATCACACGCAGGGAGCGGGCGAGCGGCGAGCGGCGAGCGACGCGGCGCGCGAGACGTGGCTCCCGAAGCGCCGCGCGCTTCGATACGCGCTCGCGCGGGCGCGCCTCGCCTCGCCTTTCCTCAAGGCACGCGTGGGCACGACGCACGCTTCGCTGGCAAGGCCACAGGCTGCTCTTGAACGAAGTAGGTATACTTGCTTCTATGCATCTTGTCGGCGGAATGAAGAGAAAAAGGTCTGGTTGCTAATTTAACCAAATTACAAAGGAACGGCACAAGAGAATGAACATTTTAGAATATTGTTTGCACAAGTTGAAAGGTACATTGGAGGAACACTTGAGTGTTGTGTTGAGCAATTGGTCTGGGCTGTGTTTATTAATTATTAATAATTATTAAGTAGAGTCGAATAACTAATACGTGTTTTAATGGCCAGAAATCGCTAGTTAAAAGAAAGGGCCGTATCTCCCCACTAAACTCATCTATAGATTTGTTGTTTCTACTGAGCTATTTTTCTTTCAACTGTTCTATAAAAAGATTCTTAATGGGTAGAGCCATTTCCGGGAAAATCACTCACCTTAAGAGTTCTGTCCTTAGCGAACACTGGATTGTGGTTTTCTACAAAGTCGTTCACTTCTAAGCGTTTTAATCAGGGCGTAGAGCCTGAGGTGAAGCAAGTGAACGAA